TGATAGCGGTTAAATCCTAACCGCTATTATAACAGCACTTCTAATAGCGGTTAAGCCTTAACCGCTATCTAATATACACTTTAGATAGCGGTTACAGAGGAACCGCTATTATATCAAATTTCGCTCGAGCGAGATATAGTCGCCCAAGCGAAACACAACCCCAGACGCAACAAGATTCTTAAAAGGAGCTTATAATAGCGGTTAAACCTTAACCGCTATCTAATATACACTTTAGATAGCGGTTACAGAGGAACCGCTATTATATCCTCCAATTATGATCGATCATTTCACGTTATGATCGATCAGAATCAAATTTCGCTCGAGCAAGATATAGTCGCTCAAGCGAAACACAACCCCAGACGCAACAAGGTTCTTAAAAGGAGCTTATAATAGCGGTTAAACCTTAACCGCTATCTAATATACACTTTAGATAGCGGTTACAGAGGAACCGCTATTATATCCTCCATTATGATCGATCATTTCACGTTATGATCGATCATAATTAAATTTCGCTCGAGCGAGATATAGTCGCTCAAGCGAAACACAACTCAGACCTTATAATAGCGGTTAAACCTTAACCGCTATCTAATATACACTTTAGATAGCGGTTACAGAGGAACCGCTATTATATCCTCCAATTATGATCGATCATTTCACATTATGATCGATCAGGATGGTATTTCGCTCGAGCGAGAGTATAGTCGCTCGAGCGAAATACAACCCGAATCTTAAAATATTTTTTTGAATATTATGTTTTTAAATTTGCTATTAGACAAAACCTTTCGAATTCAAAATGTTAAATAATTTTAAATATTAAAATTAACTTTATCAAAAATTAGGGAAACAAAATTTATCCAAAAGAGTTCAAAATGTATAAGAGTATTCTCAATTTTGATGTTTAATTATATTATTAATTCTCAAAGTAGAAAATTATATTGTAATTATTTTATCTCAAGTTAATGTGATGAGACGATCATAAACATTTCAACATTCGGAGTCAGATATATGGGACATCTTCGTCTCTCCCAGCTTGTTCATGTTCTTGAGTGGAAGTGATTGAATGATCTGAACCTGGAGGACTTGATCGCAAAAGATGAATAACATTATAATTATTTGTTTGAAGAGCATTAGTGTGCATAGGTTTAAAATTTTAGTAATGTTTCATTTAATTATTATTCTATTTTCACTTGTATTTTATATTTGTTTTAAATAATAATGTACAATTATATTATTAGTTTTCATAATTATTTGTTACTATCAATCAATATTAATTATTATTTTATATTTTATAATTATTTAATTATTAGTCAAATAATTTATTTAATATGTCAACATTATTTGAATATGGATATGCAATGTACATAATTTTGTAATTGTTTATTTATATAATTTTTAATAACTATCTAAAAAAAGTTAATTTTTTAAATTTGTTTCCAATTACAAACACTTTTAATTTTGTTTTTTCTTTTAAATATATAATCAATGTTAAAATATGGATAATTAATTAAAAATTTATATTTATAATCATTTGAACCTTATTTTATACAAAGGGTAAAATGGTAATTTTCTTAAATAATCAACATAAAATTATAATTTTTATATCTCATATCAATCAAATCATTCACAATTTCCCATAAACATTCCATTCATCTCCATTTCTCTTCAAATCCCTCCTTTTCCACTCTCTCAAATCACTCCAACCAAACAAAGCCTAAGTGATATAAAACGTATAAACATATAAAAAAATAAAATAAATATTTTATAATTTTTAATCAACCTATTAATAAGATTTAATAGTAGATTAAGAAAAATTAAAGTTTAAGATTCAATATTTAAAATTATTATTCATGTTAGAATGAAGCAAATATGTGTTGTGTTGTGGTAAGGAACGAAGAGGAGCCATGAACATTGATGTTCGACTTCGTACGACAAGGTTGGTTTTGAACAGAAATGTCAACAAAACAACCATATTTTCTAATTGCTGCAATCACGCCATGAATGACCTTCTGTACTTTTGTTTTCAACTGCATTCTTTTTCCCCTCCCATGATGTTTCTTTTCTGTACCATATCTTCGTTTTCATCTTTTCTTTTTCCATCTTCGTCTTCTGATATTAAACCGTTCTAGACTTCAATAATGAGAAATTTTCCTTCAAAATTGATATAAAATATCATCTTTATGTATCAAATAATTAAAAATTGTATTCAAAATTCATTTTAGACCATTGAGAATAGTTCATGTTAAATGTTTTTTACTGATTTACATAAAAAAAAAGGTTGTTTTAAATATAAAATAAATTCATTTTTTATTACTTTTAATTATTAAAAATCATTAACATTAACTTAAATTATATACTATACAGTGAGAATAATAAAAGTTAAAATATAATATACAAGCTATTAACTTTTTTAAGAAATAAAACTTATTTAGTTTATACTAAATTTCATCAACATCGTATCTTACGTACTTGCCTAATAAATTAATTATAATGGTTAAACGAGTTACAATTTTTAACTTCGATATAATTATTGAGCAAATGAATTATTTTAGATCGTTTAAAAAAATAGTAAAAATAATTTTTAATTTTAACAAAATAAATTATATATATATATATATATATATCAAAATCAAGTAAAATTGGTGCCTTGAAGATTTTGAATATATGAATTAGGATTTGAAGGGAAAAATCTACCTTTTTTTTTACAAAGAATTTCACATCATATGTAAAAATTTTAAATGATTAAAAAAAATCAAACAAATAAATTTGCTTAAAAATAAGAATTATAAATGAATTAAAAATATTTTTATAAAAGTCAACTACAGGTACCAAAAAAATCCTACTTGTGATAAGAGATTTATCTGTTTTGAAAAAAATTTGTTTACATTTGAATTAAAAACTATTAAAGAGAATTTAAAACCAGCCACCTATATTAACCAAGCAACAATGTCGCAGGAAGTTTAATTGTTGAGTGACTTATTTAGCAAATAAAACTTTTGAAAAACTAATGTGGCAAGACAACACACTAACTTTAGAGGATTAATTTGAGATTTATTTTTTTAATTTGAGTAAATGACTTGAACTTTTTGTAGTAAAAGGTTTATGATATAACACCAAAGTCTGCGACAAAATAATTTCAGAAGCAAATTAAGTGTGTACATTGTTTCATTTTTGAATTTAAGTGCTTGTTTGGATAGATGTAAAACCAGTGCTAGGAGTCACAGAAGCGTGTGAAGCAAAGGAAAATATTGCAATAACTGCAAATAATTGCTTCTCTTTTAACGTAAATCACATTTAAGGTGAAGCATTAAACACGCACTAATTAAGACGTGTTAAATATGAAAATCATTCATGTGATTTTGAACGTTAATAACATAGCCAAACAGCACAAATAAAATAAAGTTTGAAAACTATAAATTCTTGAACCACAAAGAAACATTGTTGAATGAATTGGATGAGACTGTGTTGCGTTTTCCATTTCTTCTGGTCAAACTCAGATTAAGTGAAGGAACCTCACTTTCATGCATTGTTGAAAAAATTAGATCCATTGACTTGGTCAATACTCACCAAATTATTCAGCAAGTAATTGATTCGATTAATTTCACCAATTTATATATATATGAGCTCTTAATCTTTTCTCAAACTATCCCAACGTAAATTCAATAACAATCAATAGTTTCATGTTTATTTTTATTTACTCAAAAAATAAGTTATACTCAAAAAATAAGTTATACGTTTAAAATTTACGTTAAGGTCGGTTTTACGATTCAGTTTGCAAACATAAAGGGAAGAAAAGTTAGTAAATATTAGTGTGTTTGAATTCTTCATTTGAAAAAAAAAAAGGTGCAGACACTAATTCACATAATTCTAGATAAACATTCTGTGTTTAATCGCGTTCAAAATTAATTCAAAGTTATTAGATCAGAAAAGTTAAAGTAGTGATATCGTTTAAAATAAAAACAAGAAATCACAAATCACTTGATTTGAAAACAAATTCATTGAAAGTGAGTTTGCAGATACAGCTCCAAAAAACACAAGTAGTTAGGAGTGTAAAACAAGTTGAAAACTTGATGCATTGAATGAAGGTGAATGGCTATGTTGTTTCATTTATCCCAGCTGCACGTCAAGTTGTCAACCCAAATGCAGCAAGATTTCATCTTTTATTCAAAGTTTCATTACTCTCTTCAAAATGCATGGAGCCCATTAATGATGTCAAGCCACAAAAGGTATCCAAACTGTCAATATCTGCCTGCCCCCACATCCCCCCCTTGCATAAATCCCTCACCAACTTCTTAGTTCATGCACATCTCTCTCTCTCTCCATCAAGTTTTTCCTCAGTTATTATAATATGAAAAAAATAGTATAAACAAATGGATTCATTACAACAAAAGGTGAACAAGAACAATAATAAAAATATGAATAACAATAATAATATTCAAGTCCCTTCACAGGAAGTCAATGCCCGAACCATACACATTTTTCATGGAGTGCATGCTAATCTGGGAATGTAGAGAAGAAAAACACCCCTAGGTACAAATATATGGTGCGTTCTTGACTCCCTCTTCTAAGACTATAACTACTACTGTTACTACCATTACTACTGATACGACTATTTCTGCTAATTCTTGTTCAATACCAAGTATGCAAAATAACAAACCATAATTTTTTTTCTTTTTGAAAAAAAGATGAACCCTACTTAGCTTAAACTTGAAAATGAAAGAAAATAAAAATTGGTAGTTGGTGTGCTAGGTAATGAAAGTCGAAGCTTTGAAGCAAAATACAGCTCTACCATCAGCTGGAGCAGTAAATAATGAGGCCTTGTGGTCTTGATGAGGGGGCATTGAAGTCCCAACTAACCTAAAACACTTCTCCCTCACATTGATTATGGTACCAGCACAAACAGCCTCAGGTCTGAACCATTTCTGATAAGCATATTTAAGGAAGGGGGAAGGAAGAGTGAGTAAAGGAAACTAACTAGCACACAAGCATGCAGCAGGTTCTCATCAGGAACTAGGACAATTCAAGGCAGCCTTTATTTGTTGGACAGTGTTGCCGATGAGGCTATTAACAGTGGTCACCGACTCCGTGTTGAGTTTGGCAGATGGTAAGCTGCTCACTAGGATTTGGAATGCAACAGTGATGAGTGAGCCACCAGACCCCCCCATGACTCTGCCTGTGCTTGTGCTGGTTGAGGCCCCTCCACCATCTTGGTCTGGTTGCCCATCAGGGGAAATGGTGAAGCCTGAGGGAAGGAGGGGAATGTATGAAGGGTCTTCACCACTCATTGCTATGTTGATGGCTGGCAGATCAACTGGACAGTAAACCACTAGTGAACCTGAGGAGTCCACACAGCTCTCCTGGAGGATCAGCATGTTGTTTTGACTTGTGTTGAAAGCCTAGAATTAAGTGGACAATGTAGACATTGTTAAGTCAAATAGTGGAAAAACACATTTTGGTTGCAACAAGGGACCTCAAGTTAAGACTTGAACTATAGAATAATCAATATAAACATGGTTTTTTACCTTGGCATTCAATCACAAAACTTAATGTATTGTGAGTTCATGAGTTCTACATATAATAACTATTATTAAAAGTAATATCGAAGATGATCTTTTATTGGTTGACAGCATTGATAGAACATGCCTATTAAATAACTCTAAATTGATAGAACATTTTTTCTTCCATTTAGTCCCTTAAATTCTACTTGGTCTGTAGATTTTAATGAAAATAATGCATTTTTAGTTGCTCGTGAAGGAGAAAAGCACGCGGTTTTGCAACATTTTATGACTAAACAAATACCACTGTAAAGAGACTAAGTTAACAAAAATAAAATAAAGAGGTCATGTTTTAAGGGATTGAATTCAAATGAAAATTCAACTAGATAATGGAGAGAAAGCATGTCTTACTCGAAGCACAGATATGCAGTTACCAGGGTGTGCACCATTTGCTATATGAGCAACCTCTTGCACAGCATTGCCATTGGAAAGAACATCCCACTAAGATCACAAAAACAATGTTAAAAACACTACTGAAGACCAAAACATCAGGCAAGACCAATAAGTCAAACATGTCACAACCTGAGGTCTTTTCTTTTCATCCTTGAAGAAATTGAACACAGTTTGTGGAGGGATTGGGAGCCAAATGGTGGTAGCTGCACTTAAGACCACACCATTAGGCTGGCCCGGGTCTGTGCTCTTATGCACAGTGACTCTGACTCCAACCTCATTCATCACACTCCCAGCGAGTGTGGTCCATCGGTGCCCAGCTGATGCACTAATGCTAGCACAAAAATTGGTAACCATCCTTTGTGCAAGTTTCATCATGCTTCTCTTGCCCTCAGGTGAGGGAATCACTGAAAAAGTTTACACTATCAAGTTCGAACCATATCTAGAAATTTAAACACAACTGAGATTGTAACAGTGCAAGTTGTATACCTCCTCCAAGATCGCGGGTGGAATTGCCTGTCACCATCAGACAAGCAATTCTTTCACACATCCTCTGAAGAGTAGTTAGCCATCTTTGTGCTCCAAATGCAATGCCGCTATAAATCATGTTTCTGTAGAGCCTATGAACAGGAGTTTTATCTTCAACCTCTACATGTTCAATCCAGGTAACCTACATGATGACAAAAAGGAGTGAACAAAATTTCATGTTAAGGGTATCAAAGCAGTCAACAGTAAATCATAGTGTTTAAGGTTACCTTGGAATATCCATTAGGCAAGTCTTGGATAAAGACACCAGAAGGCAGTCGATGAGATCGAAATTGAGGAGCAAATTGGTTATCTTGAGGAAAATCATATGAAACATCGACTATCGCCCATAAGCCTTGTTCAATTTGCTGACAGTACCGCAGGAAGTAGAACTCCCTAGTAGAAACAAGTGGAGAAAGCACTTGCAACTCCTCATACATCTACATCATATGAACAAAAAAATAAAAAAATCAAAGTGGAACAAAAACAAGAATGAAAATTGTCAGATAAATTGGACAAATTTTCAACATACCAATTGCAAAGAACCACTATGACCGCCCATCATTCCAGAAGATATAACTTCAATTGTTCTTGTCAATGTGACAATGGTGGGAAAAAGCTCCATCCACTTGTTCTGCAAAACAAATCATGAAATTTGAATAATTCAGAGAATTGAATTGAATTGAAGGTTTCAATTTTCTGCAATCTAGAACTAAAAAGGTGCAAAGTTAAGATTATCGAGAACATCTTACTGGGTCCATAAACATGTCAATCAATGTTAAGCCATTCATAATCACAACTCCTGAATCTCTTGAAGCTTCAACATGAACATTGGGGTTCTTCATGTGACTATTAGCCTTGGGGAACAATCTTTCATAGGTATCAAGATCAAGGACATCCCTCCCATCAGCACCTTTCATCCACAAGGGCTCATTTGTTTGCAATAGCCTGATCATTTCTTCCATGGCATTTGAGGCAATGTCTGACATGAGGGACTTATCCATGTCCGAAAAACACGCAGGTTGGAAAGGAGGCACATTTGGCATGGATGAGGAAGAACTCCCGGGGAGAAGGTCAAGATCAAGGGAAGGGCCACCCAACCCTTGGCTTGCAAAACTCCCCATTGACAAGTCCAGAGAAGATATATGAATAGGCTGAACAGGTGGGAGTTGAGAAATTGGCCTTCCAATGTACTTAGCTGCAATGCTAGATACTCTATCAAGCTGCAAGTTGAACCAATCTTTCAATGGATAAGGGTATCAAAAGAAATATATATTCACATTCATAAATCTTAAAAATAGAATTAATGAATTAGAAAGCCTTTGCACCTCCTCTTTGAGTTGAGCATTCTCCAATCTCAACTTTTGCTCATCAAAATAACAATCGTCATTGATAGGAGGACCACCACAAGAAGGGCAAATAACATTTTTTAAGGCCTCCCTTATGGCTATGTTCTCACAACGTATCTTGTCATTCTCAGCCCGGAGTGCACAATTATCAGCTCTCTCGTGCTGAGCCTGAATTGTTCAATTAACAAAAAGAACCTTATAAATCATGAATGAAACACACATAAACATAACCACACAAAAAATCAAAACCTTTTCTAGAATCCAAGGAAAAAAAAGAATAAAAAATTAAAGTCCTAAACATTACCTTCATCTGGGTCCTCCTGTTCTGGAACCAAAACTTGATCTGTCTAGGCGCCAAGCCCAACTCCCTACTTAACTGCATCCTTTGCTTCTCGTCTGGGTGAGGACACTCCTTGAACATCCTGGAAAAACACCAAACGCACAGAAAAAAAAAAGAAAGAAAAAGGAGAGGACCACAAAATTAGAAGGGTGCAAATGAGAATTTTTTTTTAACTGTTCATGAAGAGAAACAACGTCAAAAAAAGGAATGCAAAAAGACATCACATAAAACAAGGAAATGAAAACACCAAAAGTTTGAATGGAAATGAATAAAAAAAAGAATCGTCCTTACGATTCAAGCCTCTGAATCTGGTTAGCTGTGTGACGGTGGTAACGCTTCTTCCTTCTCTGGGAATCTGAAGAACCATCATGGTGATGGTGGAGATCACCAGGAGACCCACTTCCATACTCCATTTCTGTGCTCTTCTCTCTTTCTATTTCTCTCTCTCTCTTGATCACTCCCACCACCACCACTTTCTCTCCACTGAATCAGCTACTCCCATGACATCATTACCATTGAGAAACAAAACAAGAAAAGACAGAAGAAACAAAAAGCTTGAGAAACAAAAGGAAGAAGAAGCAAGGGAGTTTGGAAAGTGGGTGTGAAAAAAGAGAGAGAACTTTTTGTGATGTGATTTTGATGGGTAAGGCTACAAGGCTATATGGCTATTATGCTGTGGTGTTTTGAGAAGCAAAGCAAAATGGCAAATACAATAACATCAACAATCAAAACAACATATAATTTTATTAATTATATATTATTCTGAAACGGCTGTGACCATCAAAGATAGCGCATGATTTGAGAGAGAGAGTGAGTGAGTTATGGCAAATCTCAAGGGATGCTCAATAGAGAAGATGTTGCTGATCTAATAATCAACCAAAAAAAACGTAAAAGAAACCATTCACTCACCAACACAACACCACCACAGCACACCCTCTTCTTCTCTCGTCCCCCTCTCTCTCTATAAACTCCTGTGTGTGTTTGCACCCTATGAATGAATAAACACACTTACTTGTACCCTTTTAAAGTATTGTATAATATAATATATTATATGTATGTTTATATTGAATATATGGTGTGTCACAAAGTGAAAAGAAAGCGTAACTGATGGAGGGGCTTTTAAAGCGTAGTTGGCGTTGTGAGAGAGAACGCGGAGAAAGAAAGGAAGAGACTTAAAGAGGTTCTATCTAATCTCTATCTATCTACACTCACACACTGCACTATACTACTACTTCTACATCATCATCATCATAATAACAACATACACTAACTCACTTTCTCTCTCTTCATTTCTTCTCTTTCTCTCTCTTAGAGTGGTACAGCCACACCACCAGGGTCTGTCCCAGTTGAGCCTTTAATGAGGAACCGTTTCCGAGTCGCCGGAGCACCGCCGTATTGCGGCAGCACGTGGCGGGGGTTTTGGTTTCCACCTCCCTCATTCTCTCTCTTCATTTATGGTTATGCATGCCCTTGAGTTTTCTCTCTCTTGGTTTTCCATTCTGAGGTCACACACACGCTGCGAAGGGTGCCAAAAGTCAAACGTTGGTATCCCATTGGGGGAGTTAAGGATTAGAATCATGCGAGATTGGCACCTTTCAAATTTACCCTTGAATGAACACCAACCTATGCATGCGAATCAAAATTCTTAGTTTTCTTTTTACATAATCACATTAAAATTATAATTATGATTTTATGCATCTTAATTAAATTTCTGACTACTAAACGACACTAATACTTATTATTTTTCTATTTTCTGCTGAAGTTATGTTTGTTTCATTAATTATTTTTTTATACATTTTAATTCTCTTGATTGATTTTTTTTTAGTATCATAAATATATTAGTTCTTTAAATATCATAATAATATAATTTTAGTGACCTTTATAATAGAATATGAATTATATCACTCATATGAAATTGACTTATTGTGATAATTAGGACACCTAATTAAAGCTTAAGGACTAAAATAACTAAATTATGGGACATTATGGTTTGCTGTATATTTTTTTCCCTTTTAGGACAGGATTGGGAGTTAATTTTTCTTTTTTTTTTATGACATGATTAAAAATGATTTGTTTCAAGAAAATAATTGATTATGCTAAATTATAAGAGAAAAATTTTCTTATTCTATAAACAATCAATTATATGATATGAGTAAATAAATGTTTTATGTGATAGTAGAGGAAATATTTTTTAAACCTTGATTAAATGTATTGAGATTTTGAAAAAAAAATACTATTTTTTATAATAATTAATTTCTGAATTTAATTAACATATTTTTATAATATAAATATTTTATTTTTTCAATCATAGATTATTAATTATTTTTACAATAATTACTTTGTAATTTATATTAAAGATGATTTTCTTATTAATATATATATATATATATATTATTAATTTGTTTTTCCCTTATAAATATATTTTAATTGTTTCCTATTCCTTTTGAACATGGTATGCACACAGCCGAAAAATAAAGACAGACGAAACAAACTATAAAAATTATGTTTATGTTTAAATTTAAAACAAAAATTAGTAATTTTATTATTATATATATATATATATATATATATTAATTATATATAAACTTAAGTATGTTTTTAATTTTTGTAAAATTATTCTGATTTTAGTTCTCAAAATTTTAAAAACATATATTTTAGTTTTTATAAAAAATTATATCTTAAAAAGTAAATTGAAAGAATTAAACTAATTTTTGAAGTTAATATATAAAGACTAAAATTATATATTTTATAAAATCTAAGAGATTAAAGTATTTTTTAATTTAAAATATTAAAAAACTATTTATTCAATATTTTAAGTGCTAATAATATATTAAAATAACAAGGCTAAATTAAATTAAAATGCAACACTTAATTAATTCAACAGCAAATTAAATTTAATCAAATATTATATCAGTTAATTTTCAAAATTAGTTTAAGATTTTTTTAAATTGCAAAAAAGTAATTGGTTCCTTTTTTTCACCTTGATTATTATTGTCTTCATATTTATTATCATAACTATTATAGTAATTATAGTTATTATTATTATATTTATCATTTTAATTACTATATATCATAAAAATTGTTGTGGTTATGATAATAATCCTGGTGGGAAATGATAATATATGATGTGATTTTGGATGACGAACTTTAACAACAACAGAAAAATAGATAATTTTTTATATTAGTAGTTGATCAAAATTTGTATTAAGGGAGAACTTCACAATACATGATAAAACCCATGAAAAGATAATGTGAATATAACTTTCAAATCTAAAGGTAAAGTTGTTATTGTATGGATGTGTGTACCAAATCCCAAATTAAATAATTAATTAGTGTTTAAGCAAATAATTAATTTATTTTATTTTTTAATTTCTCAATATTCAAATTAAATCACTAATTAATGTTAAAATTTTTTTGGAACTATTCAATAAATTACTTAACATTGATTGATGTCTGAAATTAATTTAAATTATTACTGTATAAAAGATTATTATCATAGTTATAACACTTATATGTACATATAAAAAAAACTTATTTATAAAATGTGTTTCTTATTTATGATATCTTAAAAACTAATATTATTGGATTTCAATAAGGATATTTATAAGTGTGAATTTTTTAATACTGAACCTAAATCTAATAGACATTTGCTGAGCTGGTGAAGCAATGTCACATTTTTTTTTTTTCAATAACAACGTGTATACTTTTGCAAACTGCAATTATTTATGTTAATTAGCTTTAATATGAAATTTAACGTTTATAATGAATAATAAATAATATTTAATTCATCCATGTTTATTTATTTAATTTACTTAAAAAATTATTTATTATTTTAATCAATTTAACTTTATATTAATTTTATTAATAATAATAATTTTAATAAAATAAAAAATTATACTAAGAATTATAAATATAAAATATAATTAAAAATAAATATTTATTAAAATAAGATAAAAATATATAATATTATATAAATTCTCAACCATATCACTTGTTAGTGAGTAAATTCACCAACTTTACTCATCATTAATTTCAAGATCTAAATATATGAAGACTAACTAATCACAAAATATATCCATGATTTAAGTTAAACAAATTTAACTCATTATTAAAGAATGGTAGGGAAAAGATCGATCATCTTTTTGTTTAGACATTTGGCAAGTAATAAAGTTTAGCTTCAATCCTATTATTTTTTCTTTAAAATATTCTGGTATATTCATACATTTTAGACTGTTAGTAGTCAAAAATAAAAATAATTTATGTATATATATATAGTTATTACTCAATCTACTAAATGTATTTTTAGATAAAATTATAACGAATTAAATTTTTTAATATAGACAATATTTAATATTTAAAATGCGATAATTAATTTTAATAATATTATTATAATAATATAATAATTAACCTTAATAATATTATTAAGGTCAGAACACTACTAATTATTACTTAAATTTGAGGTATTAAAAGAAAAAAATTACGAAATAATAAAATTTGATTATTTTCTAGTTTTACTCTTTAATTTTTTATTAAAATCCATTCAAATTTTTTAGATAATTTTGTTATTATTTAAAAATTTTATACTGATTGAATTAAAATTGGATAAACTAAAAACAATACCGGTGTTGTTGTTGATGTTGGCTCCCGTCGGCCTCTTCTCGCCGGATAAAAGTCAAGAAATGTAATAAAAGTGGACTGCCGCCAAACCTATTAGAGGGAAGGGCACACCTCCCCACGTGTTCTGGGTTGCCCGACTCAGCAAGTACTTCAATTCATTGACTATCATCATCATCTTCATCTAATCCTCCGTTTCTTCCTCCAACCCTTTCACAAACACAAAAATCATACACAAATTTATCTTTACATGTTATTATGTGAACATCAATGACTCAATTCCACGTAAAATAATTAAATTTTGCGTGCATTAATGGATATTAGGCGTATCAAATATTAAAGTCAAACCTTCATGTCAAAAAAGTTGCCTTCATTTGATAGCTAAATGTAGTTTAGTTCATTTACTTTTTGGTGAAGCAGAAAATAAATCAAAATCTAGCCCGACCTATCCTAAACTTTCTAGCTTCGAAAGTTTGACTTATTAAAACAAAAACATCAAAGATTAAAAAAAAAATGACAATAATAAATATAAAATAACTAGTCTCACGCTTCTTCTTATTTTTTTTTTTCTTTCTCGTAAACATATAGTTATCGGTGTCTACTAGTTACTCCCATTTTCTTATCACAAGAACTTCTCCAATCATCAATGGAAAATTTACATAGGTTTTTGTTTTTGTTCTTCGCACTTTTATCATGGTTGATGATTCTTTGGGTTCGCATGCTATTAGATTTGATCTCAACTTTTCTCAAATGATATTGTCTTACGTATAATTGATTTCCTTCATTAATTACTTTGGTT